TGAGGAAACAACCATTGGGACATATGCAGCAACAAGTCAATTTGCTGCCTCCTCACCAGTTTCAGCCAACATCATTATTTGTACCTAAGCTTGAGGCAGCTGGTGGTGATGGTAATGGTAATTTGATGGTGCCTCGTCATCAACAGCAGGAACAACAGTTCATTTATGACCAGATTTTTCAGGCCTCTGAATTATTACTGGCCGGACATTTCTCAAACGCGCAAATGATATTGGCGCGGCTCAATCAACAGCTCTCTCCCATTGGCAAACCCTTCAAGAGGGCTGCTTTTTACTTCAAAGAGGCTCTGCAGTTACCTTTCCTTTTGCCTTGTACATCCACATCTTTTCCACCAAGAATTCCCACCCCATTTGATTGTGTGCTTAAGATGGATGCTTATAAGGCTTTTTCTGAAGTATCTCCACTTATTCAGTTCATGAATTTCACCTCCAATCAAGCTATTCTTGAAGCTCTTGGGGCTGCCAAGCAAATTCACATAATAGATTTTGACATTGGCTGTGGTGCTCAATGGTCCTCATTAATGCAAGAACTCCCGAGCAGCAATAGAAAGGCAACTTCTCTAAAGATTACTGCCTTTGTATCTCCTTCAACCCACCACTCCGTTGAGATTGGCATCATGCACGAAAGTTTAACGCTGTTTGCTAATGATGTGGGAATCAGATTTGAGCTGGAAGTTATTAACTTGGATTCCTTTGACCCTAAGACTTATCCCTTATCCTCCTTGAGGTCATCTGAGTGTGAGGCTATTGCTATTAATTTCCCCATCTGGTCTATTTCAAGTTGTCTATTTGCATTTCCTTCACTTCTTCACTGTATGAAGCAGCTTTCACCAAAAGTTGTTGTATCATTGGAACGTGGATGTGAACGTACTGAACTCCCCTTAAAGCATCACCTCCTCCACGCCCTCCAATATTATGAGATACTTTTAGCCAGTATCGATGCTGCTAATTTAACACCAGACGTTGGGAAAAAAATTGAGAGGTCTCTCCTCCAGTCTAGCATTGAGAACATGGTCTTAGGGCGCCTCCGATCCCCTAACCGAATTCCCCCATGGAGAAACCTATTTGCTTCTGCAGGATTTTCACCTGTTGCGTTTAGTAATCTAACTGAAATCCAGGCAGAATGCCTTGTTAAGAGAACTCAGGTAGGAGGATTTCATGTCGAGAAGCGCCAGACGTCACTTGTGCTATGCTGGAAGCAGCAGGAACTCTTGTCAGCTTTGTCTTGGAGGTGCTGAGGAGCTTTATCTTATGATGACTCTTTCTTTTAACAACAACATTTACTAGAGGTTTTGACTCTTCAATTTGATGTCTGTTAAAAAATCTGCTTACATTTGCTATGTCATTTTCTCCTTATGTGTAGTCTTTGACTGTAGGCAGGCCTTCCGCGTTAAACAAATCTTAACTATTATCCCTGTTTAAATATCAGTGTGTTGTATCTTCCTAAGTTTCACTATGTATTAATTTCTCTCTTTTCCATGTTCTGATACAATTGCTAAGTAATATTAACAATTTCTGGATGGTAATGACTAATGATCTGCTTTTCTTTCTGAATGTGTTGAGCTTCCTGGTTACAAGCATGTTAGTTCCCAAGTGAATAGTTCTTCTCTTAAAATGAGTGCGTAATATATTCTACTTTTGATACATGTATTGGTATATTGGATAAGAACCAAAATTGGAGGCATGTCCTGAACATAGGACAAAGGACATGTATACTCTTATTGGAATACATTCCTATTCCTACTATTAATAAGGGAGAGTTTCCAGAGCGAGGGTCTGGTCTTCCGGAAAAAGGCTCTCTGCCTTCTTAAATGCAAGGGTAAGGTCTGTGTACACTCTACCCTCCCCAGACCCGACTTGTGGGATTACAATGGGTTGTTGTTGTAATAAGGGAAAGTTTCACGAGTTTCAGGTCGTCTTTCCTGCCGACCAAAGGGTTTAATTGGAATTTTGTAAGTTTGGTTCGCTGTTTTAATACAGCAGTAAGTGGATATGTATCTTCAAACTTAGTTCTGCTAAAATTTCCTGTTGGTTGCTGTCTTCTTTAAGCTTTCTCTGCTCTATGTACTACTCTGCTGGCAAGTTAGATGCAACACCCAGGACTTTAGGTAGAGTCTACATCGGCAAAACACAAGAGGGATGATGGGTATATAAGTTAACAAGCCTTAGACGCTAACGTGTTTTAAACCCGTGAGGGCTTAGGCCCTGGGCAGACAATATCACTAGCGGGATGGGCTGTTACATTAGACTTGGTTCTTTTAATTGCCCTTGGATGCTTTCTGTTTCATCTTGCTGAATTTCATGCTTAACTGACATATAAGAAACTATTTAGGAAAACATATTAGATGCCAAGTGTTAGTGCATAATGTTAGAGATTAGACAGTTTGAAGAGTTGAGTTCTTTGGATATTGTCTCACACTGGACAAATAACTACATTTAGATGTGTTTTATATCTTAATCGGATTATTATTATTAGTGTATTGTCTTCTCTTTCTTAAGCTGTTGTATTTCAGTAAGTTTAGAATAAATATTGCACAAGGTTCTGTGAATTCGTTTAGAAGAGTATAATCTATGTGATCAGAGGCGGATCCAGGATTTAAACCCTGAGGGTTCATCTTTTATAGTTTTTAGCATTGAACCTGTTATATTTTTAAAGTTATGAGTTCATATCTACTATTTTTGCAATTTTAATGAATTTTTACATATAGATTAGTTATGGGTTTGATTGAACCTGTCGACGTACCGAGAACACTACATCTTCCTCTGTATGTGATGGAACAAAAAATTTACACTCAAGAAAAATATTGCTTTTGTTGGCGAGTGAATTGAGAAAATTTTCTCATCTATATTGAGAAGTTCTTTGAAAACCAAATGCAAATTTTCCATTTTGGGGATTATTATTTTTTGTTAAACCTTGAACGTACTTGCTTATTATTATTGCTTTCTTTTTCTTTCCTTAACTTGAGGGTCTATCGGAAACAGTCTGTCTATCCTCAAGGTAAAAGTAAGGTATGCGTACACATTATCCTCCTAAAATTCCGCTCGTGAGATTATATCGAGTTTGTAGTTGTTGCTGTAAACCTTGAACGTACTTGTCAAGTTTTGTATCGAAGTCTTTCCAAATGAAAACGACATATTGTTCGTATTAGCTTCTTCAACTAGGTTTTAATTATATGATTAATTAATATTTGTCATGTTCACATTATACCAACTGCTAAAGGATTAAAATTAATCAAAAGTCCTCAAAACATGGTCCTACACTCGTTAATAAATTTCATGTCCACCTGCCTTGTAGTCTACGTTGGATTTAATAAAAGTTCACTTTGAAATGCCCAAAATTTAGATTAGATTATTGAGTTCAATCAAACATGACCCATGTGGTTTGCTTAAGTGGATGGACTAAATTATTCAAGATGATGACAACAAATACAATGAATGAAGTATATAATAATATAATAATTTGGCATGCATTATGTAATCCAAATTACCTACATCCCTTCTAAAATAATGATGGGAACTTCGTATTTTCAAAAGAATGATTGAATTAATGACGTATAACACTTCCCAAAATACAACAATAATATAATACAAAGTCGTTAAATAAATGTAATGCTAAGCTGTCGATCCTTATTTATTTTCACCCACTCCAAATTCAGACTCTCCTACAGGACCAGGCCATAGTTTAAGAGGGAATGCTCTAATTAAATGATCGTAGAAAATATTCAATGATGTGTATCGTGTACGGACCAATTTGCCCCCACCTCGATTATTTTTATATTACTCCCTTTGGCCCATAATAAGTGACATTTTGACCTTTTTATTTTGGTCCAAAATAAATATTCTTTTACATAATAAAAAGAAATTAATTTTATTTTTCTAAAATTTGCCCTTGTTTACATATCTCAATGTGTTAAGATAACAATATACAAATTTTAATTAAGAGTAATTTAGTCAATGTATCTTTTTTTTTTCTAGGAGTTAGTATTATTTTTAAGGAAAAATGACACTGTATAGCCGTTCTCAAAATAATATATTTTTTGTATATATTTACGTTTTGTATGTTATTTACAAAAATTATACAAATTTTATATATTTTTTTGACTACCAAATATAAATAGTTTTTGACGCGCGAGATAAAAAATAAAAAAAAGCCATTTTCTTAAGGGGTGCGCCAAATACCAAAAGGTCATTTACTATGGAATAGAAGGAGTATCTTTTACTAGTATATATATCAAATAACTTTGCCCATTAAAGCTTAAGCAAATGAAAAAACGGTATTTTGTGTTTTTCTATCTCTATAAAAATTTGAAATCCAAGTCTCCATAATTTCTATCCAACTTTATTTACGACTAGATCACACCCTTTATGGTAGATTCTTAACAAAGTATTGTTTCCAATTACTGTAAGTCCTTTGTATAAAGAATAGAATAGAGCAATCAACTGTTTTCCAGTCTCAGTTACAAAGGTTAGTATCACATAAATAAAGTGAAATAACAATTGTCATAGAAATGAATATTAAGCAACATTTACTTGTGAGTTTATCAGATCAAACGGGTAAATCAAGATACTCCGGAGCACCATCTCATTTTATGTCAAGGTGTTTGATTGCGCACAAAAAAAATTATTTTTTATTAAAAAAATTAAAAATTTATGATCTTAAACATGACATCGATCAGCTCGAGTTGTCTTAGATAGATCCCAAGTGGAGCTTGAGATGCTTTATTCGGTCTTCAGCCGGCCTATGAGGCTGCTGAAAGAGAAGAAAAGGAAAGGTGAAAATTTTGTGGTTATAAAATCATGTATTAAAGATAAAATAGAAAGTTTAAACTTAGGAGAGAGAAAAAAACTCGAGGTTACCCTTAAACTTAAATTGTTTCTAAACATAAAATGATGACATTCCTTTATTCGGGAACATACTAAAAGCGAAAGTATGTCATATAAAATGGGACAAGGAGAGTAATAAAAGAGCATAAACCACAATAAAACATGAACACACATGTCTAGAGAGGACTGAAACAAAAAAGTCAAGACCATAACATGGCCCAATTGTTCTTTGGGTGGGAAGGATGTTAGATTATGTCAGGACAAGAGCTAATCAGTAGTCAAAAGCTGTTTAATCAAAATATGAAATGGCTCTCCTTAGAGAATTTACTACAGCTTCATAACTGGCAAAAATTGCATATACATTAATACAGTGAAAGTAATAAACCAATATCAGCTATACTTTGACAACCACCAAACTAGTAAGAATTCTTCCCCAGTCCAAAATGCATTGACTGAAGAAGAATTATTTCATTCCTCCATTAGCAGCACACAAATACTATGTGTGTTGACAGCTATGTTGCGCGGACTCTCCAAAAATGTTGTCGCACCCGTATCGGATCCTCCAAAAATGCACTACTTTTGGAGGATCCAACGCGCACCCGGTAACATTTTTTGCAAAGTCCGAGCAACATAGGTTGACAGTGACTTACACCAAAAGCAACATAAGCAACATAGCGACAACAGCTAGTGAGATTTCTGTGGCTACTTTGTTTATTATTGCAACGCGTAGACATGCCTATTTTCCTGAGCAATGCAGTAAGCATAGGAGTATTTCGCCAACTTACTATGCCTCAAAGCCAACTCGGCTGAATAATTTATAATCCTCTATATCCATGATAATAAAACTACAAGATTTCTAAATTTCATAAATCATATGAACATACTACAAGTTACAGATAATAGAAGGACTACTGGAGTTCAGTCAAACTAGATTCCTTACTCTACCTGGAAGCAAAATAAAGACGATCTTTTGGAAGCGAAAAAAACTGAAGTTTAGAATATTGTTTCAAAGTGTAAATTCTTATAAGAGTATAGACCTGTAGAAAAGATCTGTCCGGTGCATAGCTCTAATCTGGTTCTTATCCGACCTCAATATACCTATCAAAATTCAAACATCGTATCCCACACTTTAAGAGCAGAAAAAAATTATTTACATAGGAAATGACTTTCCTGTAACCAGGAACCTCAGCACACTCGGCCAGAAAAACATGCCATTACCATCCAGTGTACATGCAAAGGACCATGCAAAGGACACCAGGCAAACAAGCGGATGATAACATTAGCATTCACCAATGAAGGATTATCATACTTCTTATCCAATAAATCATGTTAATATCTGTTAGCACTTACCAATTGTTCCCAAATATGGAGAAATGGACGATTTTTTTTATTGTTATTAAACAAGGTAAAAAAGAAAGCAATTAATACACAGGGAAATGCTGAAAGATACAACGCAGATTTTCAAACAGGGAAAGTGGTTAAGATTCTGTTTACACGTAGGAATGCTTGCCTACAGTCAAGACTACATATGGAGAATTAGATGTACCAAAAAGAATTTACAGGCAATAGTGGAGGTGATAGCAATGTAGATTAAATTTTGAACAGACTATCAAATTGAAGAGTCAAAACCTCTAGGAAATGTTGCTGTTAAATGGAAAGAGTCTTCTGGCTTTCATTAGATAAAGCTCCTCAGCACCTCCAAGCCAAAATTGACAAGAGCTCCTGCTGTTTCCAGCATAGCACAAGCGACATCTGGCGCTTCTCAACGTGAAATCCTCCTACCTGAGTTCTCTTAACAACACATTCAGCCTGAATTTCAGCCATATTACTAAATTCAATAGGTGAAAATCCTGCAGAAGCAAATAGGTTTCTCCACGGGGGCATTCGATCAGGGGATCGGAGGCGCCCCAAGACCATGTTCTCAATGCTAGGCTGGAGAAGAGACCTCTCAATTTTTTTCCCAATTTCTGGAGTTAAATTAGCAGCATCAATACTGGCTAAGAGTATCTCATAATATTGGAGGGCGTGGAGGAGGTGATGCTTTAAGGGGAGTTCAGTACGTTCACATCCACGTTCCAATGATACAACAACTTTTGGTGAAAGCTGCTTCATACAGTGAAGAAGTGAAGGAAATGCAAATAGACAACTTGAAATAGACCAGATGGGGAAATTAATAGCAATAGCCTCACACTCAGATGACCTCAAGGAGGATAAGGGATAAGTCTTAGGGTCAAAGGAATCCAAGTTAATAACTTCCAGCTCAAATCTGATTCCCACATCATTAGCAAACAGCGTTAAACTTTCGTGCATGATGCCAATCTCAACGGAGTGGTGGGTTGAAGGAGATACAAAGGCAGTAATCTTTAGAGAAGTTGCCTTTCTATTGCTGCTCCGGAGTTCTTGCATAAATGAGGACCATTGAGCACCACAGCCAATGTCAAAATCTATTATGTGAATTTGCTTGGCATCCCCAAGAGCTTCAAGAATAGGTTGATTGGAGGTGAAATTCATGAACTGAATAAGTGGAGATATTTCAGAAAAGGCCTTATAAGCATCCATCTTAAGCACACAATCAAATGGCGTGGGAATTCTTGGTGGAAAAGATGTGGATGTACAAGGCAAAAGGAAAGGCAATAGCAGAGCCTCTTTGAAGTAAAAAGCAGACCTCTTGAAGGGTTTGCCAAGGGGAGAGAGCTGTTGATTGAGCCGCGCCAATATCATTTGCGCGTTTGAGAATTGTCCGGCCAGTAATAATTCAGAGGCCTGAAAAATCTGGTCATAAATAAACTGTTGTTCCTGCTGTTGATGACAAGGAACCATCAAATTACCATTAGCACCACCAACAGCTGCCTCAAGCTTAGGTACAATTAATGGTTTTTGCTGAAACTGGTGAAAAGGCAGAAAATTGACTTGCTGCCGCGTTTGTCCCAATGGTTGTTTCCTCAGCAATAACTCACCACTGGAGTCAAAAAATGGAACCTCAGGCAATAGTGCGCTTAAGCTTGAACCAAGCGTACCGGAATTGTGGCGCTTGGGCGGGGGCTGTTCTTGAGTTACATCATAAGATAATGAGCCTAACATATTAACATAAGCAGAATTCTGTTCTGATTGTTGTTCTTGAAAACTCAAAGCAGGAGGTAAATTTCTTGCCAAAAGATTGACATTGAGGTGTTCAAAGTTAACATTTTGCTTGTTGTCTGAGTTTATGACAGATCCAATTTTCTCAATGTTAGCATTTAGAAGGAGATTTGAATTAGAAAAAGAGACATTATCTGTATGAGCTAAAGAACCTGCAGCTGAGACCTCAAAACCAGAGCTTTGAACAGAAACTCCACAACTCAAATCAGCATTTTCATTTCCTCCTTGTAGTAATTGTTTTAAGCTGATTGATGGGTCCTCCATATCGCCGGAGATACACCGGAAAAGGGTCTGGTCGGAGCCGGCAAGTTCAGGCAACAAATTATCCAAATCCCCAAATCCAAGATCAGATTTTTCTCCCATATTTCCACCATAAGAGCATGAGGAAGATGAAGCTGAAGCTGAAGGACTGTGACTTGTCGTAACCAACATAGAAACAAGTTCAATTTCTTGTAAAGTTTGAATATTAATTGCAAATTGGTGCTTCTGGTGAAGAATAAATTAGGCACAAAACCAGAAACACCAACAACCCCTTTAGGTGTTAGGATTTAGGAATACATTGAGGTGTTACAATCATCTGAACATAAATAAAAATAAAAAGAAAAAGAAAATCAGCTAACCCACTACAAAAATTAACACAAAATAACCATAACAAACAAACAAGTTAACAGTAAATAATTAGGTTTCTTGCCTTTAACTACTTGATGGATCTTTTTTTTTTTACCAAGATTTGAAGGCAGTGACGCCATTGGCTCCAAAATATGAACTTGGTCTCCATTTCATCTGAAGTAGTAAAGGAAAAAAACTAAAAAAGAATCAGTAATCCCACAATAAGAACAACAAAAGGAAAGGGGGGAAAATAACAGTGGAACAAGATATTTTCATTTTCTTGCCTTTAACTTCGAGATGGATCTTAGTTTTTCTAACAAGATTTGAAGGTAGTGAGTTCTTGAATGAGCTGAAGATTGAGCTAAAGAAGGACAAATATAGGTTTTTGATTGTTTCAGATGAAGAAAGGAAAGTGTTCCATCAGAAAAAGAAAAGAAGAACTCCTTCGATATTGCGTATGTTTGTAAAAGGAAAGGGGCTGGATTGTATTGGGCTTTCGGATCAGAGTTCAATCTGTAAGCCCACAAGAATAAACAAAGGAAGCCCATTATTTCTTCCATATTGGACCAATATTTTAGAAGCTCAAAGATTATTATTTTGGAATTTTTACCTCCTATTGCAAAGGTTAACACCTTATTTATTTTAAATAAATATCATTTAAAAAAATTATATTCTATAGATACTTTTTAACGTTTATAGCAAAATATTTAATTTTGGTTACCTCCTAGCACTAATCAATTACACTATTTTCTTTCTCTCTCTACTTTGATACACCTCATTCTCTTCTCTCATCCCATTAAAATTTCCGATCTCTTCCTCCTTCCACCGAATTTGTGCAAAGCCCATCTCCTAGATTCTTCAACACAATGACCCAATTTAAAATTTTCAAGAAATTCAAATGCTTGAAGCTTTTTGAGCCATCACCAGGTGTACTTGGCTGCTTTTTCTTCACTGTTTGCTTATTCTTGTGTCTGTTTTTGCTGGATTACAGAAAAGTAAGCAAAGGGCCTCATTTGTATCAGCAAACATCCTTGTTTGCTACGTGGATTGGGCTCAATGGATTGTCTGTTCCATATAACAAGACTGAAAAGTTGGATTTTTTGGAAAATGGAGCAGAAAGTTGTGATCTTTTTTATGGGAATTGGGTTTGGGATAAAATTTATCCACTGTATAAATCAAAGGATTATAAGTTCTTGGATGAAGGCTTTCGTTGTTCTGAGAATGATAGACCTGATTATTTTTATACTAAATGGCATTGGCAACCTAAAGATTGCAAAGACAGCAGCCGCCGACATATAATCCAGTTGGTTTGTTCTTGAACAAAGACGATGGAGTTTGGAGTTGAGCAACTTGATTTTCTGTTAATATATTTCAATGTATTTCATGTATTTCATGTATTTCATTGTCTTTTTTTCATTGTAATTCAATGTGTCTCGTTGTATTTCATGTATTTCATTGTGTTCACTGTCTTTTTTTCTCATTGTATTTCAATGTATACCGCTGTATTTTATGTATTTTATTGTATTCATTGTCTCGCTATATGCCATGAATGTATTCATAAGTTTTTTTAATTAATATAATTTATGTATTCAGATGTATTATATAATTTCTCTTAAGATTTCTTTGTTTTTGGGGTATTTTCGGTTAAGAATCTTTTTTATAATTGAAAATACAAAATTTGTGTATTATAATTGAGTTTGTTGAGTTATATTAGGAGTCTATTATGTTAGTTGATTCACTTTCCGTTTTAAAAATAGTGTAATCCCTATTTCACGTCGTAAATACAGTCGAATACAATAATCTGTCCAGCTATAATCTCATGTCTCACTCCATGAATACAGTCGAATATACTCGAATACAACAACTGATTAACTTGACTTCCCTGATACACGCCTATTTTTGCTACTGTATTCATGAATACAATAGCTTAAATACATCAAATACATCTTATAACCACATAAAAGGTATCTATAATCCGCAATATAGCAAATGGTATTTATAGATGGCTAATTACTACTAAAAGATAGTGCTTTATGAAAATTTCCCTATTATTTTTTGGTTTCCCACCCAATGTCCGGTACCCGCATTGGAGCCCGACTATATTCGGATTCGCACCAGGTAAGGCCCCATTCGGGGGTAGTGCTCCCTACCAAGAATTTTTCCATATCCAAGGCTTGAACCTGGTTAAGGGAGGAGCAGTTCCATCCACTGCATCACATCCTTTGGGGTAACTCGAAGATTTTAGTTCCTTGTAAAAGTACAGGCATTTGTAGATAATGCAGTAATTTTTTACTTTCCTTTATTTGCAAATGCTAGTTAGTTATAGTATTATATCATATTATTAATTTAAATATAATATCTGTTTTCAATATTCGTAAATTTTATTGTATTATATAGTTAAATTCGTCATTACGTAACGATAACAACTGTAACTTTATGTAACGAATAATTTGGTATGATCGCGTTGTTACCTTATTCTCTTTCTCTTATTTTGCCCTTCCTTATTATTACAAAAGCATATTTTATCCTTAACCCTACCTATTTATATAATAAGTTTACCTCGTACCTTACTTTCTTTTTATGTAATATTACAAGTTTATTTTTTATATTGCTGGTGCATGACATCATGAAATGATGGTAAACAATATGATATATCCAATATATTATATTCATCAAAACAATACAGTGTAATATAACACAATACGATATATTATGAAACAATATACAACAACCATCCAAACAAGTAAATGTTCACTATCAATAACATTTGTCTAGGTAAAAATTGGATCACAACTTTTCCATTTGAAAATATATTCCGCGTTACTCCCTTGTTAACAATGTAATCAAATTGAACATATGATATAAAATGTAAAGGCCTTGAGGCAAAGTCCATGTAAGGATGAATGTGATTCAGTGAATATGAATTTGGGTGCAAAAGTGGTCCATCCTTAACCCATCAAATGGATGGTAATCTTTTTTTGTTTTGGCAAAACATTCTTCAAACTGTATTATTTTAAAAAAAGAAAAGTTCATCTTCTGTCCATCCTCTCTTCAACTGATAAAACAAGTTATGGGAAATGCGTAATCGCACCAAGCACTTTAGTCCAGTCTCTTTTTCTCTCAATTCATGTATATAAGTGGTGTTACAACTTGCAAAAATTGCCGAAGTCTATTTAATTCCATATTGCTCTGTTTTAATGTAATAACCTGATAGGTCATCTTATGTTTTAAAATCTAATTCTGCGCTTTGAAGCCTTAAATACCTTATTTTAGCCCTCCTGGATTTGCGTGCATAGACCGGGTATGTTTTCAGAAAGTTTTTATGTTAAAAACTGAGAAAATATAAAATTTCTCGGTCAACGTTTTGAGCAAACAGACCCGGATTCGTACTTTGACGGTCTCGGTGAATCCGTATCGTGATTTGGGACTTGAGCATATACCCGGAATCGAATTCGAAAGTCCCTAATCCGAGTTATCGCACTTTGTTGAAATTTGAAAGTTAAAAGCTTAATGACTTTGAAATGTTTAACTTTTTGGATATCGGCTCCGTATTTTGGTTTTGGAACCCGGTATAGGTCCAACACTATATTTATGACTTGTCTGTCAAATTTGGTGAGAAACGGAGTTGGTTTAACGTGATTCAGACGTCCGGTTGTTAATATAGCAATTTTAAAGTTTCTTGAAAATTTCATTTAATTTTGGTGTCTGATTCGTAGTTCTAGGTATTATTTTGGCGATTTGATCGTGCGAGCAATTTTGTATGATGTTTTTAGACTTGTGTGCACATTTGTCTAGAGCCCCAAGGGCTCGGGGTGAGTTTCAGATAGGCTATGGAGTGAAATTTGAACTTAGAACATCGCTGGTGTGCTTCAGTTTTTGGTGTAGGCCTCATACCTCGCAATTGCGAGGTCAGGCTTCGGATTTGCGACCTCTGATGGGTTCGCATTTGCGAGCAACTCATTGCATTTGCGAAGAGTAGTCGGGGTACCTCAAGTTCACATTTGCGAACAAAGCTTTGCATTTGCGAAGTGGGTCAGGGGATACAGTTGTCACACCTCCTTTTTCCGCACCAGAGAGGGTGCAAGAGAGTTTTTCCAATTAAAGGACAAT